GGGAGAACTTCATTTCGTATGAAAGTGCATAAAGAAGAGATTCGTTATACTTCAGTCGTTTGAGTTTTTTACGATATTCATGTTGACGCAATCCACGAGAATTTCTCCCTCGTTTCGGTTGAAAACTTGCTGAACTTTCGTCCATCATTTGATGGACATCATCAGAGCTGGCTGCCATTCTTGTAAAAGTCTCACGTTAACACGAGGGCAAGAACACTATCCGGCTCTATCTTACTTCTTTTATAGACTCAATTAAGAAAAAGGAAATTAAAAACCTAGATACATCGATGTATAGTGGTTTGGTTAATTATCTTTCATACTGGTCCTGTTACTTTTGCTCGAGTGTGTATGTGTAAGTGTCTATACGCACTACCGATCGTAAATCAGAGTTTTCAAATGATTAATGTCATGCTCTGATCATCAAGGACTAATGATCCAACAGAAAACCTTGACCGAGACTGTGCAATTCCATAAGCAAGTATTGTTGAAATATTGTGATAGTGTAGTACTTTTATTGAAAAGAGAACTGAATTTTGCTCTTCCAAATGAGGTAAACCATTCTCTGGAAATGCTTGTTAAATTAATTAGCTTATCTGATAGATCGCCTGAAGAGGTAAGGAATAGTATTCAACTTGAGGTGATCCCTCATTTTGAGCATATAATACCACCAAAGAAAGATTGTCCTCTTAGTAGGGTTTCTAGATAGGTCTGTAGTAGTCATTTGATTGTAATGAAAGCCGACAAAGGTGGAGCAGTGGTAGTCAAGGATAAGTCAAGTTATGTATAAAAGATGCTAGTTCACTTAAATGACAATGACACGTATAGGCCTTTACTGAGAGACCCAACAGAAAGACTTGAGACTAAGCTATAGGATGTCCTTAAGGAGCTATTCAAGCTCTGATACAAACTCTGGAGGAGCATCCAGAGATGACACAAGGAATAAGGATGAGTGTAGATTCCATTAGTAGACTCATCAACCTATCCATGAGTACCACATATTTTATCTCTGATGATAAGTTATACGAAAAAACACAAGGATTAGCGATCGGATCTTGCCTGTCTCCAATCTTAGCAAATAATTATATGGCAAGATTGGAAGAACACTTCCTGCAAGAGGCAATACTAACCCCCAAAATTGTGGGTTAGATACATGCATGACTATTTTTTCATTGGGCCTCATCGTGAGGACAGTTCAGATAATTTCCTACTTTCACTTAACCAGCGTGAAAGGAACATTAGGTTCACGATGCAAATGGAAGAGAATAAGTTCTCATCATTGGAGAAAAGGGTAAGTTAGGAAGAGATGTTTATAGGAAGCCAACATATGTTGGCTCTGCTTAATTTTCTTTCCAACCATAGTTACAAGACACTAGGGTCAATTTTGAAGTCAATGATTCTTAGAAGTATGAGGCTATGGGATAGCAAACATTTGACTAAAGAGTTGCAACGGCTGACAAATATATTCCTGGAAAATAATTATCCTTTAGGCTATATTGAGAATAATATCTCTCTACTGAGGAATACGTTTTCAGATGGAGACCATTTAGTCAAAGAGAGACAGACTGAGACCTTTTCCCATGTCCTAATCTTAGCGTCATGCTTTCTCTCAAAAAAGATAGACGAATTAGTAATGAAGTGCGGCATTAAAACAGTGTTCAAAAAAACCCTCACACCTTCTTCTGCTATGCCATCTTTTAAGGAGAAATATAACCCATTCTCGAGATCCGGCTGCTACAACATTGTTTGTTCATGTGGTTGATGTTATGTTGGTGATACATGCCGACACATTCGACAAAGATTGGTAGAACAAAAAAATGCTTGCAAGGGAAGCTGCGTCCAACGGTCAGAAGTGGCCGAACACGCTAGAACCTGGACGTGAAATAGAATTGTCTCAAACTAGTAGGTTTGCTGATTATGGTACGTCTTGATGATCAGAGCATGACATTAGCCTCTTGATAACTCTGATTTAGGACCGGTAGTGCGTATATAAACTTACACACACACATACACTCGAGCAAAAGTAACAGGACCAGTATGAAAGATAATTAACCAAACCACTTTATATCTATCTATCTATCTATCTATCTGGGTTTTGAATTTTCTTTTTGCTTAATTGAGTCTATAAAAGAAGTAAGATAGAGCCGGATAGTGTTCTTGCCTTCGTGTTAACGTGAGACTTTTACAAGAATGGCACCCAGCTCTAATAATGTCCTTTGGATGATGGATGAAAGCTCACCCCATTTTCACCCGAAACGAGGGAGGAAGTCTCGTGGACTGCGTCAACATGACTGCAGCATAACGGGATTCATCCGTCCTTTTCTAGTGAGAGCAACCTACGAATCTCTTCTTCATGCACTTTCATACGAAATAAAATCGCCCCAGCAACCTTATATTTCCACTGAATTTCCCACAACCCTACTTCTTATCCCGAATGGATTGCATTTTGGCCTGTCTAGATAATACCAACATCCCTAAAGGAAGTCGAACCATGGCAGGGCAGCGTATAATCTCAAAACATTAGCTAATATACCACATTTTCACGAGTGTTCGTAGGTCATAGAGCAGATTTTAATTTCAACCCAGGCTATCCATTTTCCCATATTACTTTCTGTACTGGAATTGTTGATTAAGCAAGCTTACATTTGCTAAAGCAATCGACGACATTACCTATTTTTATTTGTATAATATAAGATTGCTTCATCGACAATCCAACCCCAGCGTGATATGGGAAAATATCTGGCCTTCCTTAGTCTATTTACATGATTGTGGGAAACTTAAGCAACCAGTCTTTCATCACCTCAGACTAAATAAAGTGAACACATCTGATATACATAGGAAATTCGCATCTGCCATTTGACCCAAGAGGCCTCGTGGCAATGAGGCGTAGATGTTAGCATGTCGAGATTGTACGCTGTTCTATCATGTTTCTAATTCCACTGGGGATGCCGATGAGACCAGCTCAGGAGAGGTAGAAACTACAGTCAACTTCAGCCTGGCTATGTGAAATTCATTGCCAACTTAAAGTCCACTTATATGATTGTATGAAAATTCAACTACCAGTCCCCTTATCACCTTAAACGAAATAGGTTAAAACATATAATATAATTGACCTATTTATAATCAAAAAATAAGTAGAAATGCTGTTTGAAGACTATTTAAACCCAAGAAAGACTAATACGAAAAAGGAGAAGGCTCTCACCCAAATTGGAAGCAGTATTCAATAACGTCATGTATGTTCCCCCGATCAAAGGGTCACTGATACGGGCATGGAAGGCCATCACAGAAACGAACATAGTATACGTGAAGACAGTGTAGAGGGTAAACTTGGTTAGCAAGAGGGCGTAGAAAGACCAGGAAAAAGAGGATGAGGCTGTTGTGGAGGATCCGGTGGCGTTCAAAAGGTTATCAGTCACTAACGTCCCCATGGATGATTGCAGGCGAAACAGCGGTGTAAAATAGATGAAGGGAATTGTAAGGCCTGCGATAAGGAGGCTTGTGGGATACAAAGATTTTCATATCGAGGAAAAATAAGAGGGGAAGGGGGATAGTATGGATGAATAAATTGCATTATATGATATAATAAAAATTCATAAGCTACTGACAGACGGTCCCAAATAAACAACGGTAAGACTCGAAAGGATGAATAGGACCAGATGCAAATTACAAGCAAATCCATTGTTTAATTAGTTGATGTTTTTTGCAGATAAAGGTCTTTTATTCTGCACCGCTTTTGGACATTACTATCGGCATTTTGTGTAAATAATAGCTACTCGTGTCCCAAAAAAATTTCTTGATCACAATGCCAACACAAATTGTAATCTAACACCCCTTATTAAAGCCTAAGCTTTGTGTTAATAAGACAGAAACTCTTGAATTGTCTCGATTCGTGAACACAAGAGCATAGAACTACTCACTCATACCAGCTTATTCACTCCCCAATCATCCTTTTTACTGCCTCGTTGGATTTTAATTTCTTTTAGTCTTGTTATATTCATGAAACAATCAATAAACAAAATGAGTGAATTAAGTTGATGAAAAGCAAAGTAAAGTATAATGCATCCTTAATTCTTACTATGCTGATTTGCCCTGTGCAATTTCTCAGCATACTTTCAGTGAATGCAGGAGCTTTAACTCTTTTGAGTGTTGATTCGACCTGGTTTTCTAAACTTGGTCGGAGCGCCAAAG